CTGGGAATAAAATTGGGAATAAAGTTGGGAATAAAGTTGGGAATAAAATTGCCAAAGTCACCGGGAGCCGGACGGTGAGAGCCTGAGGAGAGGGGAGAAATCCTGGGAAAAGAGGGAAAAACGGGAAAAATTCGATTTCTGGGATAATCCTGGGGATTTCTGGGAATTCTTGGAGGTTTTTTGGGAATTCTTGGGGTTTTTTGGAATTTCCTGGATTTTCTGGGGAATTCCCAGACATTTTTTTTGAAAATTCCTGAGAGTTTTTTGGGGGCTTTTGGGAATTTTAGAAGAATTTTTGGGAATAGCGTTTTTTGAATTCCCAAGGATTTTGGGGTCTTTTGGGGAATTCTCAGGGGTTTTCTGGGAATTCCAGAGGAATTTTTAAATGTTTTTTTAATTTCCTGAAGATTTTTTGGGGAATTTCCAGGATTTCTTAGGAATTCCTGGGGATTTTTTGAGATTTCCAGAGGGATTTTTGGGTTTTTTTGGGATTTTCCCAGGGATTTTTGGGGCTGTTTTTTGGGATTTCCTGGGGAATTTTGAAAATTCCTGGAATTTTTGGGAATTCCCAGGGATTTTTTGGGTTTTTTTTCCCTTTGGGAATTCCTAGGGGTTTTGGGGGGTTTTTTGGGAATTTTCTTGGGAATTCTCAGGGATTTTTTGGGGTTTTTTTCCCTTTGGAAATTCCTAGGGGTCTTTTTGGGAATTTTTGGGAATTCCCAGGGATTTTTGGGTTTTTCTTGGGAATTCTCCAGGCAGTTTTTAGGAATTGTTGAGGATTGTTTGGGAATTCTCAGGCATTTTTGGTGGTTTTTTACTTTGGTTTTTTTTTTTTTTTGGGAATTCCAGGGATTTTTTATCTTAATTCCCAAAATTTTTTTGGGATTTCTTGGGGGGTTTTTCTGGGGGGGAATTTTCTGTGGATTTTTGGGGTATTTTTTGGGATTTTTTTAAATTCCCAGGATTTTTTAGGGTTTTTTGGGGGATTTCCAAGGATTTTTGGGGGTTTTTATGGGAATTCCTGGGGGAGTTTTTGGGGTTGGTTTGGGAATTCCCCAGGATTTTTTGGGGATTTCCCAGGGGTTTTTTGGGAATTCCTGGTGACTTTTTGGGGTTTTTCTGGGAATTTCCAGGTATTTTTTTGGGAATTCTCCGGGGCTTTTTGGGTTTTTTTTTTGTGAGGATTCAAAGGATTTTTTTGGGAATTCCCAGGGATTCTTTGGGAATTCTGGGTCTTTTGGGTATCTCTGGGGATTGTCGGGCGATGTTTTGAAAATTTTTAGGCAATTTTTGGGGAATTTACTGCATTATTTTTTTAATTACCAGGGATTTTTGTTGGTTTTTTTGTTTTGGTTTTTTTTTGTTTTTTGGGAATTGCCAGCATTCTTTTGGGACTTCCTGGGGCTTTTTTTTTAGGAGTTCCCTGGGAATTTTTGGGAACTCCCAGGGCATATTTTGGGAATTCCCAAGGATTTTTTTGCTGTTTTCTTTGGGAATTCCCAGGAGTTCTTGAAAATTCTTGGGGTTTTTTGGGGGATTATTGGGAATTTTTTGTGGGTCTTTTTGGGAATTCCCAGGGGTTTTTGGTTTTTTTCGTTTGTTTGTTTTTTTTTTTGGTTTTTTTTTTGACGATTCTTGGGATTTTTTCGGAATTCTTGGAAATATTTTTGGGAATTCTCAGGGATTTTTAGGATTTCCCAGGGATTCTTTGGGGGGTAAAGGAATTCCATTGGGTTATCTGGGACTTCCCAGTTACTTTTTGGGGTTTTTTAAGGAATATCCAGGGATTTTTTTTTAGGGTGTTTTTTGGGAATTCTGGGGAATTTTGGGGGTTTTACAGGAGATTGTTGGGGTTTTTTAGGGAATTGCAGGGAATTTTTGGGGCTAATTTTTGGGAATTTCAGGAGTTTTTGGGAATTCCCAGGCGCTTTTCGCGTTTTTTTTTTTTTTTCGGAATTCCTGGTGATTTTTATGAGAATTCCTGGAGTTTTTTGGGGGTTTTGTGAGAATTCCAAGGGGTTTTTTTAGGAATTCCCAGGGTTTTTTTCAGAATTGCCAAGGATTTTTGAAGAATTCTTGGGGAGTTTTGGGGTTTTTTTGGGATTTCCCAGAGGATTTGTGTGAGTTACCGGGGATTTCTTGGGATGATTTGGGGGATTTGCAGGGGGATTTTTGGGAATTCCTTTGGATTTTCTGGAATTCCCTGGGGTTTTTTGGTTTTTTTTCCTTGGGAGATTTTTGGGAATTCTCAGAGACTTTTTGGGGGGCTTTTTTGGGAATGCCAAGGGAATTTTTTGGGCTAATTTTTGGGAATTCTTGGGTTTTTTTTTTTTTTTCAGAATTCCCTGGATTTTTGGGCTTTTTTTTGGGGAATTCTCTGAATTTTTGGAGAATTTCTGGGGCTTTTTTGGTTGTTTTTATTTTGTTTGGTTTTTTTTCCTGTGAATTCCCAAGGATTTTTTTTAAATTTCCAAGGATTTTAGGGGCTTTTTTGGGAATTCCCGGGATTTTGGGGGGATTTTTTGGGGGTTTTTTTTTGGGGATTTCCCAGGATTATTCGGGGTTTTTTATGGGAATTCTTGGGGGAGTTTTTGAGAATTCCTGGGGGGGTTTTGGGGGAATCATCTGGGAATTCCCAGGATTATTTTGGGAATTCCCGGGAATTTGGGGGTTTTCTTTGGAAATTCCCAGGGATTTTTTGGGGTTTTCTTTGGGAATTCCTGAGGAGTTTTCAGAATTTCCTGATGAATTTTTGGGAATTCCCATGGATTTTTTGTTGGGTTGTTTTTTTTTGGTTTTTGGGTTTTTTTTTTCAGAAATTCTAGAAACTTGGGCTTTTGTTTTTGGGAATTCTCGAGGAGTTCTTGGGATTTCCCAGGGATTTTTTGGAGGGGGATTTTTTGGGATTTCCGGGGTTTTTATGGGATTTCCCAGGAACTTTTTTGGGTTTTTTTGGATTTCTAGGGTTTTGGTTTTTTTTTGCAGTTCCATCCCAGTTTGGGGCAGTTCCATCCCAGATTGGGGCAGTTCCATCCCAGTTTGGGGCAGTTCCCGTCCCAGTTTGGGGCAGTTCCATCCCAGTTTGGGGCAGTTCCATCCCAGATTGGGGCAGTTCCATCCCAGTTTGGGGCAGTTCCCGTCCCAGTTTGGGGCAGTTCCATCCCAGTTTGGGGCCGTTCCATCCCAGTTTGGGGCAGTTCCCGTCCCAGTTTGGGGCAGTTCCATCCCAGTTTGGGGCAGTTCCCGTCCCAGTTTGGGGCAGTTCCATCCCAGTTTGGGGCCGTTCCATCCCAGTTTGGGGCAGTTCCCGTCCCAGTTTGGGGCAGTTCCATCCCGGTTTGGGGCCGTTCCCATCCCAGTTTGGGGCAGTTCCATCCCAGTTTGGGGCAGTTCCATCCCAGTTTGGGGCAGTTCCCGTCCCAGTTTGGGGCCGTTCCATCCCAGTTTGGGGCCGTTCCATCCCAGTTTGGGGCAGTTCCATCCCAGTTTGGGGCCGTTCCATCCCAGTTTGGGGCAGTTCCCGTCCCAGTTTGGGGCAGTTCCATCCCGGTTTGGGGCCGTTCCCATCCCAGTTTGGGGCAGTTCCATCCCAGTTTGGGGCAGTTCCATCCCAGTTTGGGGCAGTTCCCGTCCCAGTTTGGGGCCGTTCCATCCCAGTTTGGGGCCGTTCCATCCCAGTTTGGGGCCGTTCCCGTCCCAGTTTGGGGCCGTTCCCATCCCAGTTTGGGGCCGTTCCCGTCCCAGATTGGGGCAGTTCCATCCCAGTTTGGGGCCGTTCCCATCCCAGTTTGGGGCAGTTCCATCCCAGTTTGGGGCCGTTCCCGTCCCAGTTTGGGGCAGTTCCATCCCAGTTTGGGGCCGTTCCCGTCCCAGTTTGGGGCCGTTCCCATCCCAGTTTGGGGCAGTTCCATCCCAGTTTGGGGCCGTTCCCATCCCAGTTTGGGGCCGTTCCCATCCCAGTTTGGGGCAGTTCCATCCCAGTTTGGGGCCGTTCCCGTCCCAGTTTGGGGCAGTTCCATCCCAGTTTGGGGCCGTTCCCATCCCAGTTTGGGGCAGTTCCATCCCAGTTTGGGGCCGTTCCCGTCCCAGTTTGGGGCCGTTCCCATCCCAGTTTGGGGCAGTTCCCGTCCCAGTTTGGGGCCGTTCCCATTCCCAGCCAATCCCATTATTTTTTTCCTGGCTCTGCCCCTAATCAGGGGAAATTCCTGGGAATGGGGCCAGAGCTGGAAACCAGCCCTGATCTTGAGGGCTCCCCCAGGAAATCTTTTGGGGCTTTCCCCAAATGTTTTGGGGTTTTCCCAGGAAGTTTGGGATGGGTTTGGGGTCCTTGGGTGCTGCTCTCGCATTTTTTCCTGGATTGAGTTCAAGGAACCATAAAAAACTGCAAAATTTGGCAAAGATCCCTCAGGATGGAACCCTGAAGGGTTTCAGGGCACCTGGAGGGCTCTGCTGATCCCAAAATGCAGCCAAGGTTTGAGTTGTGGGACTGGGGAAACCCGTGGGAGGAATCACCGCACAAGAACGACACCATTGCACCCCAAATAAACCCCAAAAAAACCTCAAAACTCTCTGGGGTGGTTCCCAATTAAATCAGAGCCTTGGAGGCACCTGGAGGGCTCTGCTGATCCCAAAATTGGGCCCAAAGGCTGGAAAGTCTCATGGGAGGAGCCCGACCATCAGAACGACACCATTTCACCCCAAATAAACCCCAAAGTTCACTGGGATGGTTCCAAATTAAATCAGGGCCCCCAAATAAACCTCAAACCCTCTGGGATGGTTCCCAATTAAATCAGGGCCTTGGAGGCACCTGGAGGTGATCACCAACATCATCACCGAAACAACCAACACCATCACCAAGGCAAGCAACATCATCACCAAGGCAAGCAACATCATCTTCATCATCATCATCACCAAGGCAACCAACGCCAAGAAAACCAACACCATCACCAAGAGAGCCAACGCCATCACCAAGAGAGCCAACACCATCACCAAGAGAGCCAATGCCAGAAGAACCAACACCAAGAGAAAACCAACATCACCTCCAACACAACCAACACCACCAACTCAATCAACATCACCAAGAGAACCACCATCATCCCAACACAACCATCACCAAGAGAACCAACATCACCAACACAACCAACACCACCAACACAACCAACATCACCAACACAACCAACACCACCACCATCACAACCAACACCACTACCAAGAGAGCCAAGATCATCCCCGAGAGAACCAACACCAAGACAACCAACACCATCAACACCATCAACACAACCAACACCAAGACAGAGTCAACGTCATCCCCAAGAGAACCAACACCAAGACAACCAACATTCATCACCAACACAATCAACATCATCACCAAGACAACCAACATCAACACAACCAACACCATCAACACAACCAACACCATCAACACAACCAACACCATCTCCAACACAGCCAACATCATCATCATCACCAAGAGAACCATCACCAAGAGAACCAACATTAGCACCAACACAGCCATCACCACCAACACAACCAACACCACCACCAACACAATCAATATCACCCCAACACAACCAACATCTCCAACACAACCAACATCACCAGCAAGAGAGGCATGATCATTACCAAGAGAATCAACACCAAGACAAACAACATCACCACCAACACAACCAACACCAAGAGAACCAACATCACCAACCCAACCACCCCCACCCCCAAGAGCACCAACCCCCCCAAACCCCCCCGGTGCCGGCGCCACCCCCAAACCCCCACCCCCGAACGGCGGCACTCACCGGCCTCGTCGTGCGCTTCCAGGGCCACGCCGGGCTGGTGCCAGGCCAGCGAGGATGAGGATGAGGATGAGGATGAGGAGGATGGGGATGAGGAGGATGGGGATGGGGATGAGGAGGAGAAGAGCTCCGAGGGCTCCTCGCCGCGCTGGGGCCCCGCGGGGGCCGGCTGCTCCTCGGTGGTGCTGCGGAAGGCGCCCTGCTCCGGGCGGGCGCCGGCTTTGGGGTCCGGCAGGGGGAACCCGGGCTCGGGGGGCGCCGGGAGGGCTCGGCCCCCGTCCCGGGGAAGGGCGGCGCGCTCGGCTCCATCCCGCGCCGGGCACGCGCCAACGCGCGGCGGCGGCGGCACGGCGGGGACCGCCCGCACGACCTGCGGGAACACGGCAGAGAGTGAGGAGAGGAAAAGGATTGGGGCAACAACAGTGACCAAAAGTCACCAAAAGTCAACAAATGTCACCTGTCCTCCCCCGTGCACTCAACTGAGGGAAAACGGGCACAAAATGAGGAAAGAGGGAGAGTTTGGGGCACCAAAACTGACCAAAAGTGACCAAATGTCAAATCTGCTCCCCCCTGCACTCCACTGAGGGAAAACGGGCACGAAATGAGGAAGGAGGGAGAGTTTGGGGCATCAAAAGTCAACAAATGGTACCAAACCTCGCCAAATGTCACCTGTGCTCCTCACTGAGGGAAAACGGGCACAAAATGAGCAGAGGGAAAGGGTTTAGGGCAACAAAAGTGACCAAAAGTGACCCAATGTCACCAAAACTGACCAAATGTCACCTGTTCTCCTCCCTGAGGGAAAATGGGCACAAATTGAGGGAATGGGGAACTTTTGGGGTCACCAAATCTCACAAAATGTCTCCTGTCCTCCTCCCTCCATTCCACTGAGGGAAAATGGGTAGAAAATGAGGAAATGAGGCAGCTTTGGGGCACCAGAATTCACCAAAAGTGACCAAATGTCACCTGTCCTCCTCATTGCCACCCCAGTGGGGGAAAACGGGCACAGAATGAGGAAGAGGGGAGAGCTTGGGGCACTAAAAGTGACCAAATGTCACCAAAATTCAGCAAGTGTCACCAAAAGTCACCAAATGTCACCTGTGCTCCACTCCACTGAGGGAAAATGGGCACAAAATGAGCAAAGGAAAATGAGTTTTGGTTTGGGGGCACCAAAACTCACGAAATGTCATCAATCCTCCACTACATTCCAGTGAGGGAAAATGGGCACAAAATGAGGAAAGGAAAAGGGGTTGGGGCATCAAAAGTGACCAAAATTGATCAAATGGCACCAAAAGTGACCAAATGTCACCTGTGCTCCTCATTGCCACCTCACTGAGAGAAAATGGGCACAAAATGAGGAAAGGAAAAGGGTTTGGGGCACCAAAAGTGACCAAAAGTGACCAAATGTCAAATCTGCTCCCCCCTGCACTCCACTGAGGGAAAATGGGCAGAAAATGAGGAAAGAGGGAGAGTTTGGGGCACCAAAAGTGACCAAAATTGACCAAATGGCACCAAAATTCACCAAATGTCACCAAAAATGACCAAATGTCACCTGTCCTCCTCACTGAGGGAAAATGGGCACAAAATGAGGAAATGGGGCAGGTTTGGGGCACCAAAAGTCACCAAATGTCACCAAATCTCAACAAATGTCACCTGTCCTCCTCATGGATGGAAAACGGGCACAAAATGAGGAAAGGGGAGGGTTTGGGGCAACAAAAGTGACCAAATGTCATCAAAACTCAACAAATGTCACCAAATGTCACCTGTGCTCCTCACTGAGGGAAAATGGGCACACAATGAGGAAATGGGGCAGGTTTGGGGCACCAAAAGTCACCAAATGTCACCAAAAGTCACCAAATGTCACCTGTCCTCCACCCTCCACTCCACTGAGGAAATTCTGAGGAAATCAGAAAACCCAAACCGGGAGCAAATCCCAAATCCAGAGCAAACCCCAAATCCAGAACAAATCCCAAACACAGAACAAATCCCAAATCCAGAACAAATCCCAAACCTGGAACAAATCCCAAACTTGGAACAAATCCCAAATCCAGAGCAAATCCCAAATCCAGAGCAAACCACAAATCCCAAACAAATCCCAAATCCCAAACCTGGAATAAATCCCAAACCCGGAAAAATTTCCAAATCCCAAATCTGGAACAAATCCCAAACCTGGAACAAATCCCAAACCTGGAACAAATCCCACATCCAGAGCAAATCCCAAACCTGGAACAAATCCCAAACCTGGAACGAATCCCAAACCTGGAACAAATCCCAAATCCAGAGCAAATCCCAAACCTGGAACAAATCGCAAACCTGGAACAAATCCCAAATCCAGAACAAATCCCAAACCTGGAACAAATCCCAAACCCAGATCAAATCCAAGTTTTTAATCCCAGGTGCTCCAACCAGCTTTGGTTTTTGGGATAGTCCCAAAAACCCCACAAAATTCCCATTTTTCCCCCATTTTTGGGACCATCCTGAGATCCCAGGAGGGAAAACGGACCTCAATTTGGAGTTTGGTTCAAAATTCTGGGAATTTTGGGGTGGGAGACAAAATTTCTGTAATTATCCCAAAATTCTGCTCATCCAACCCCGTTTGGGAATGACCCCAAATCCCCCTGGAACTCAAATCCTTCTGGATCCAAAATCCCCATGGATCCCAAATCCCCCTGGATCCCAAATTTCCCCGGATTCCAAATTCAGGGACCCCAAATCTCTCTGGATCCCAAATCCCCCTGGATGCCAAATTCAGGGATCCCAAATTCAGGGATCCCAAATCCCCCTGGATCCCAAATCCCTTTGAATCCCAAATCCCCCTGAATCCCAAATTCAGGGATCCCAAATCTCCCTAGATTCCAAATTCAGGGATCCCAAATCCCTTTGAATCCCAAATTCAGGGATCCCAAATCCCTTTGAATCCCAAATTCAGGGATCCCAAATCTCCCCAGATTCCAAATTCAGGGATCCCAAATCCCCCTGGATCCCAAATTCAGGGATCCCAAATCCCCCTGAATCCCAAATTCAGGGATCCCAAATCTCCCCAGATTCCAAATTCAGGGATCCCAAATCCCATTGAATCCCAAATTCAGGGATCCCAAATCCCCCTGGATCCCAAATTCAGGGACCCCAAATCCCCCTGGATCCCAAATTCAGGGATCCCAAACCCCTTTGAATCCCAAATTCAGGGATCCCAAATCCCCCTGGATCCCAAATTCAGGGATCCCAAATCCCCCTGGATCCCAAATTCAGGGATCCCAAATCCCCCTGAATCCCAAATTCAGGGATCCCAAATCTCCCCAGATTCCAAATTCAGGGATCCCAAATCCCATTGAATCCCAAATTCAGGGATCCCAAATCCCCCTGGATCCCAAATTCAGGGACCCCAAATCCCCCTGGATCCCAAATTCAGGGATCCCAAACCCCTTTGAATCCCAAATTCAGGGACCCCAAATCCCCCTGGATCCCAAATTCAGGGATCCCAAATCCCCCTGGATCCCAAATTCAGGGACCCCAAATCCCCCTGGATCCCAAATTCAGTGACCCCAAATCCCCCTGGATCCCAAATTCAGGGACCCCAAATCCCCCTGAATCCCAAATTCAGGGATCCCAAATCCCATTGAATCCCAAATTCAGGGATCCCAAATCCCCCTGGATCCCAAATTCAGGGATCCCAAATCCCCCTGGATCCCAAATTCAGGGATCCCAAACCCCTTTGAATCCCAAACCCCCTTGAATCTCAAATCCCCCCGGAACCCAAATTCAGGGATCACAATTTCAGGGATCCCAAACCCCTTTGAATCCCAAACCCCCCTGGATTCCTGAATTTGGGATCCCAAATCCCTTTGATTCCCCCCACAGTTTTCACTCCCATTTTCCCCAAGTTCCCCGTTTTTATTCTGATTTTCCTCCCATTTTCCCCCATTCCCAGGCAATTTCTTCCCAGCCCTGGGAGGTGTTTCCCACTGTTTTCATTCCCATTTTTTCCCCAATTTTATTCTCATTTTTATTCCCATTTGCCCAGGCAGTTTTCATTCCCTTTTTTCCCATTTTTATCTCATTTTTGTTCCCATTTCCAGGTGGTTTTAATTCCTGGTTTTTCCCAATTTTCCCAGTTTTATTCTCATTTTCATTCCCGTTATTTCCCCGGCAGTTTTCATTCCCATTTTTCCCCATTTTATTTCCCTTTTCATTCCCCTTTTCATTCCAAATTTTCCCAATTTCATTCTCATTTTTATTCCCAATTTTCCTGATTTCATTCCTGATTTCATTCTCAATTTGCCCTTTTCTATTCCCATTTCTATTCCTTATTTTTCCTGCTGTTTTCATCCCCCTTTTTCCAAATTTTATTCCAAATTTTCCCGATTTTTTTCCCGTTCTTATTCCCAATTTTCCCGATTTCACTCCCATTTTTATTCCAAATTTTCCCCTGTATTTCCATCCCCATTTTCCTGTTTTATCCCATTTTTATTCCCAATTTTCCCCTGTATTTCCATCCCCATTTTTCCTGTTTTATCCCATTTTTATCCCATTTTCCCCCATTTCCAGGCTGTTTCCTGCCAGCCCTGAGAGGTGTTTCCTGTTTTCATTCCCATTTTCCCAATTTCATTCCCGTTTTTATTCCCAATGTTCCCGATTTCACTCCCATTTTTATTCCCTATTTCCCCCTGTATTTCCATCCCCATTTTTCCTGTTTTATCCCATTTTTATTCCCATTTTCCCCTGTATTTCCATCCCCATTTTTCCTGTTTTATCCCATCTTTTTCCCATTTTTATTCCCATTTTATTCCCAGGCCGTTTCCTCACAGCCCTGGGAGGTGTTTCCCACTGTTTTC